CTGCTATAAGCTTGATGGTTGCACGAACACCTGGATAAGAAAGCTTGTGCAACGTGTTGAAGACATTGCGTCGATAATGTTTCGGCACGATTGGGCGATCCCTACCTGTAGATGTGTCACAAAGTAAGGTCTCCTTACCTGTTCCTATCTGTTTGATGCGTAGTTTAAGTGTTGTGGACGATAACTCGTGCTGAAGATCACTGTCTTCTTTTTGAAGCTCGGCGAGTTTAAGAAGGTCGATTTCTTGGAAACTGTTCAAGGAAGTTATGCGAGATAAGGCGTCTGCAACTACATTGTTTGCTCCAGAGATGTGTTAAATGTCTGAAGTAAACTGCGAAATGTAGTCCAGTTGTCAAGACTCACGGGGAGAGTACTTGTCAGAAGGAGAGCTTAACGAGAAAGTGAGCGGTTTATGGTCCGTGAAAAGAGTGAATTCACGACCTTCGATATAGTGTTGGAAATGCCGTACAGCACAATACATAGCTAGGAGTTCCCTACCGAATGTGCTGTACCTCGATTCGGTGTCTAGCAACCTTCTAGAGAAAAATGCCAAGGGTTGCCAGGAGTTGTTAACCCATTGTTGTAAGACTCCTCCGATTGCTGAGTCGGATGCGTCTACTGCGATGCTAATGGGTACTCGGGTGTCCTGATGTGCGAGCATTGTTGCTTTAGCAATCAGTTCCTTAACTGTGGAGAATGATTTTCGTGCGGTGTCGTCCAAATTAATGGATTTCGCATTTCCACGAAGTTGGTCGGTCAGAGGTTTCATGAGTAGTGCGCATTTCGGTATGAAACGTCTATAGAAACTTACGAGGCCGTTGAACATGCGTAATTGCTTGACGGTGGTCGGAATTGGTTAATCCAGAATGGCCGCCACTTTGGTTCTAAGGGGTCGGATACCTTGCGCATCGATAGTGTGTCCCAGAAAGTCTAATGAGTCGGTTCCGAATTGGCATTTCTGAACGTTTACAGTTATGCCATGTTTTTGTAGTCGTTCGAAAACAAGATCCAGATGCTTGAGATGTGTTTCTCTGTCCGGACTTGCGATTAGACAGTCGTCAACATACGCATGTACGAAGTTGAGACCTCGAAAAACGTCGTCTATGAATCTTTGGAATGTTTGAGCAGCATTCCTTAGACCGAAAGGCATTCGCGAAAATTCATAGAGTCCGAAAGGAGTTATGATAGCTGTTTTCGGTATGTCGTCAGTAGCCATAGGGATTTGGTTATACGCTTTAACCAAGTTGATTTTCGAAAAGACAGTTGTTCCTTTCAAGGTAGCTGTCAAATCGTGAATGTGAGGCAACGGGTAACGATCGGGAATGGTTTTCGCGTTCAATCGCCGATAGTCACCAGTTGGACGCCAATCGTTGCTGTCCTTTTTAGGGACCATGTGCAACGGAGATGCATATGGGCTACTTGACAGTCATATGATTCCTAAGTCCATCATGTGATCGAATTCGTTTTTCGCTAACCTTAGCTTTTCAGGAGCTAGTCGTCGTGCTTTAGAGAATACAGGTGGTCCTGTAGTCGTGAGGTGATGTGTAACATTGCTGGTTACACACGGTAGTTTCGTTTGAGTTTGTTGTATCTCAGGGTACTTATCGAGTAGTGGTTGATAAAGTGGGTCTATCATATGTTTAACTGTGACTGGGGATACTCTACAAACAGTAAAAGAAGTTACGCAAACGGATAAATTAGTGTGAGGCTTTTCTTTGACTGAAAATACCTCGGTAGTAGATTTCGTAATTTCTAGAATGCGGTCGGCAGATGCAGCTAGCTCGTCTAAGGCGTTGTTCTGGAACGAGACCAGAACGGCTTGCACCTGTTGGGGAAGTTTTGACAAGAAGAGTTGTTTGAATAGACCTTCGTCGAAAGTTCTTGGGCCTATTACCTCTCTCATCCGTTGCAACATGTCTGTCGCAGAACCGTGTTGCAGGTCGATATTGTTGAAGAGTTGATCTAACCTTTGTCGATCGGTTAGGTCTCCTCGTTTAAGAATCGAGCGTTTTAAGATTCCGTAAGGATCGGAAACATCACCAGTAAACATACTAGGTGTTACGTACCTGTTGAATTCGCGCGGTAGTGCCTTGACTACTGCGAGGAATTGTGCACGTGTGTCGTTCACGCCGTGCTCGGAGAAGTCGGCTTCTGCGTAGCAAAACCAGGCTTCGATGTTGTCGGAACAGAAAGGCATCAGTTGAAACGAAGGCGGGGAGAAGGTCTTAAGCTTGAGTACTTTAGGTGTCTGTTCAGTCATGATGAAGTATGAAGTACGATAATGAACAAGGGGAAAATATATATATCCAGGAAAAAACACGAAAAAAAATCACAATGTTTAAAAAAGTTAAAAAAATAAGGCAATGATATATAAAAATCCCAAAAAGGAACAGACTCACAGTTGCAATTAGGTGTACCAGATCACGTCGGGCTCACCAATGATAATGTCACAGGTATTCAGTGTTTGACAACGCTTCTACCAGTAACACCTTCTAATATATTTCGTTCCCGCCCAGAGAAATCAAAAGACAGAGTCGAGGAGATCGGAAGAGTATATTTGGTGATGACCAATATATCGGAATTCTCTGATCTAATCTGGCTAGCGATTGCGGTTGATCTTGAGCACGGCGTAACCACACGTGATCTGGTGCGGATGCCTGACCGAGCGCCTTCAACTAGGTGAGTCCACTAAGACATATGGTCAGCATCCAATGTCGAAAACTTAGTGCTATTTATTTTGGGGATTTATTTACCGCTACATACTATTAAGAAGTCGTGTGAAATCCAATAATTTCAAATGGACAAAAGGAGCTCAGTTCCACAAGATGGTTTCACAAACATTAGAAAACCATGGATTTCACGGTCGACGTCCAAAAGTAAGCTATGAAATGTGGTTTTGGTGATAAGATTCATGTTAATTTGCCTGACAGATTTATTACTGGAATTACTAATCACAGTCTGGTATGACAATTTACAAAACTCCAAAAATGTTCATTCCATAAAATGAGAGATTCTAACAATTGTGAGGCCGTGAATAGACAATAATTGGCGTCCGCGAAATTTTTTTATACAGTTCTGAAATACTGTGATCAATTACGCTTCTTAGGTTTCAGATTCGTAGTCTAGTAGTTAAGAATGGGCTTGCAATGAAAACTGGATTTTGAAGTGTACATGTAGTGATATATTGTATTGAAATGCATCGATAAAGCGCGTAAATATGTACGAAACAATTACAATTATATAGAAGAACACTCTACTTTCATAGCCACTATTTTTAGCATTAAAGGAATAAGCTTATTAAAAATTACATTTATGTACTTGGAATTTGAATGGGAAAATAATTATAGTGGTAATGTAAAGGTTATTGTTCATACACCATTTACGTTTTTGGAATTTGTTGAGTGATTTCTCCAAGAACACATATAACCACATCAGATTCCTTTCTAGTTACATTACTGGGATGACAATATTTGATGTTCGAAAATTACATAGTAGTTTCGTAAAAGTGGTTGTTTCCCAGATTATGAGAATGATGATCGTGGCTATAATTATAAACCTAAAACATAACAGTTCGAGATTGCTTTACAAAATCTTTCATCCAAATACTCTTGATCCACAATGTAAAACCAGGGTTCAAATATGAAAATTTACAAGACAGAGTATTTTGAACAACCAGGAAATTTGGAAATGATAGTTGGCTGCGCAAGGCAGTTTATTAATCAAAACAATCAGAAAATCACTCAACAGACAAACACACAAGACGTATTTTCTTCAAGGGTTTGTACAAAATGTTCGAATGTGCATAACTTAAAGCTTCTACAGGTTCCATATGAGATAAGTCTCAAACTGAACTATGAATCAACTATCAGATTTACTTAAGTCGTTGAACGTTATACTAAACTTTCTAACTGAATAATGGTGTGATATAATTTCTACTTGGTTTCACGAAAATGTTTTACTCTACTAATATGCAATTTGGTATTATGTTCGATATGCACATATATAAGATAATGAATTATGATGCTGATTACAATAATACGGATTGTGTGATAATCTTGAGAAATATATAGGCTAAGAGCTATATTATTCACGTTCTAAATTTGTATCAATGAATGGGTATCACATGTGCTTTAAAGTTATGATTAAGTGAAAATTGGTTGTTTAAAAAGATGGATGTTTTCTCGATTGGTTGAATGAAACCAAAAAGCTTTTGATCAATACGACTTAACGTGAAGAAACGTTCGAAATTATTATAGTTTACAATTGGTTGTATGTAATATGCGTAAAATAAAAACCTTAATATTCGGTCTAATATCATATTTGTAAAGGATTTTAATGAAAAAAATTTAATGATTGTTATGTATCTTTGAAAATATTATTATTATTGTCTTTACCATTGTTATTATCATCTTGAGGAATTTATTCAGTATCCACCCCTACCTACTACATTTGACCTAATTCATATTATTCTACATATTACGTAATTTCTGATTATTATTCTATTATTCTCACTCTCTCTCTCAGCCCATGTTGATCATATTTATTCTGATCATTATTTATCTCACAATTTCATTTCGCTTATAAGCTGATCCAAGTTAACACTTTATATTAAACAGCCCCAACATTAACGATCTGAATTGATTTTATATAACAAACAACAATTCTCAATTCACATATTACAATTTCCAAATGACGTACTCTGCCTTAAATCTGACCAATTTTATGGATTATTAATTTAGATATGAGATAATTGTAGAATTTGATGAGAAATTCATTGAAAAGAATATTCTTCATTCATACAATTATGAAAATATTTCCATTAACAAATATAAAACTGTATATTCTTCTCAAAAATTGTCGCTGATCATATTGTCTAAAGTAGTATTTCTAATTTTTATAAATAATCTGTCCAGTCCAATGAACATGAAATACTCAACAACAAAAAATAACTAGAGAGTAAATGATTGTAACCAATTTTTTTTATAGAACATCAAAAGTTAATGGATATTCATCAAGTAACATTGAACAATGAGCATATGAAAACAATATTTTCGATACGTGAGTTCAAGTTCATTTCAAGTTAAATTCTAAATAAACAAAATAAAATATCATTAATTTTTTCTTAGTTTTATTAACCTGATTGTTGTTGTTTTTCCAATTCGAATAGAATAAGTATTTGACAAATTATAGAAAATAATGATGAATATGGTAGGTTAACTAATTGATTGTTACATAGTAATATGATATGTAGTTGTTTGTTTTTTATTAGGTGAGGAATCATTGAAATCTAAAAGTTAGTGGATAGTTAATGTATAGTGTTATGAAATGATGTTTAAATTGCTATTAACTAGTAAATTATAGAAAAAATAGCTGTAAACAAAACATTTTTTAGATTACTCGTTTTCATTCATCTTTACAATTTCATATAACACTCAAACCAAGATTAGAGTTTGTGTAATGTAATTCAAGGTATTTGAAGGAAATTTGATCTTTTTTTGTTCCGTTAAATGGTACCAAAGAAATGATAAAGTGTTTATCGATGCCCATGTGACTAAAACAAGGTCAATTTTAATTATGCTCATATTCACATAATTTCTCGAGAATCTGATAAGAATCAATAGTTATATTATCAGTTCAGCAGATCAGTTTAGGTCTTCATTTCAAATCTGCTTTCATGCTACATTGTACTGTAACTGTCTACTTTCAAATGTTTAGACATCACCGATAGATAAATTGTGTGAATAATGATTGACTAAGATTTGACACTAAAAGTAACTGAGATCTCTGTACAGCTTAGAAAGTATAACATTTTGTTATAGGGGTTACAAGTGATCGCTGGCTATTTGAAACAAACTATATAATCCATTCATCCATCAGTATTCCTTAGGCCTTATTCTAAGATATCAGTAGCAAGCGAAGTAGCTATCACAAAAAGCAAGCAGGAGAAATGATCGAAAAGGGTGTTTTCAAGAAGCCCAACGAATAGCTGTATTTAAATTATCGGCGTCATAGTTCGACAAATTAAGGAAATAGGTATACAAAATATTGTCGATCAATCATTATCCGCACAAATAAATTAAAATGCACATTTGTTAAGAATTCAAAAAATGCGTTGAGTAGCATACTTTAGTGGCTCGTGGATCTGACTCCAAGATCGTATAAATGTTTGTTATCGCCTATTCTCGTATATAATCGTCGACTTAAATCGCGTTAGTCAATAACGGAATTAAACAAGCCAAATAACGAGAATCGACCTGTGCATACATATATTTCGTACATGAAGCGAATGAAACAGAGCACAGCAAAATGACACACAGGGAAGATGGCTGCAAAGCCAACTCCATTTTAGTCAAGCGTTACTCAATATTTATAGTCAGACAAAATGAAGCTACAGACATGTGATTAATAGAATAAGAAGGGCACACACATATACGCTTATATAAAAACAATCAAGACTAATAAGTGAATAATTGACAGGGTCAACATATGACTCATGTGGAATGAATAAATTGGTTTGTCCAAAAACTAGAATAAGGTATATGGGCTTAAAATAATGACTAACACTACAACACATAACAAAGCTAGTAAAACTTTATTTTAAAATTTAAACGGTGGAATATACCTCACTGATTACCATAGCATTGGCGTAATGTCATATACTATGTATTCCTGTTACCTCATAATTCAAATATAAGCCAGAGTAAGTAAACAAAGTGAGTCAAATCAGGTTTTTCATAATGATTTTATTAATACCAATTTTGTTCCCAAAAGTAATTGAATTTTAAACGTAAAATGCAATAAAATAAAATACTAAATTACTTTTTACGCGAAAGATAAAATGATCATAATTGTAAGCTGATGGGTGATGTTAATATTAATATAAGTGTTCATTCGCTTTTTTTGTTAAATGATCGAAATGCTTGTTAATTGAAGAAGTTTCAACACCTTAACATATGGTATTTATTCAAATGCATTAAACCATATGTTATAACTTGTTTCCTGAGCGTCCTGTTAATGGATAACGTAACGATACCGCCAATTAGAAAGCAGTGAATTATCGATCGAACCAGTGACGCATAAAACCCGTGCGAGTAGTCTAGAGTCCTTATTGGTCCTGCTTTCCGCCTAGCCTAGCCAGTTGAGTTCAGAACACCAATTTCAGCCTCTGCGATATGAATCATTTATTTCAAACATACTGGGTTTAAATACCAACTAGACAGACCATATCGTACCAATAAAATATGAAACAACATTTGTACAAGAATTAGCGAAATGTGGCTGTGAATGAGGGAGGTAGTAATTAATAGACAGGACATAATTCAGGGATGGTAGATTGTATAATCATAATTCATAGGTCAATATAAAGCTCGTAATAAGAGGGACATGAATATGAACAGTTTAGTTATTTGACAATTATACGGTAAAAATATACGCATATTATTGGTTCATAAATGGATCCCAAAAGTTACCATTCATTATGCTTATCGGGACCTAACACCATACAAGTTAGATAAATCAACTTTTATGTCTATTTCATAACCAAAGCTAATCTGTAATATTCATCAATTTCTTGAACTACGGAATCTTTAGTATTTTAGTGCATTTAAAAAGTATACGTAAATGAACTATTGATTAGAAATATTATGTTTGATAAAAGAAAAACAGTCATTTAGGACTACATTCAGTTCATTATTTTATAATATGCCATCAGCTTTTCAAATGATCTATCTTAATAATAATATTCATGTTTAGTCTTAACTTTTTTCATGATAATCTTTAATGTTAAACACTGATGAAGGCAGCACATGAGCAGAAACTGAACAATTTCCTATGTGGGAAAGCGAATAGATTCAATTGATGTAAGTGTCTAAAATATTAGTTTGTTACTTAGCTTAATGATAAAAATAAATTTTGCTTGATCACTAACCAATTATCCTCATATATATATTTTTTTTCTTTTTTCAAGCATTGATCATTTCATACAGAAAAAATAACAATTTTACACAAATTGTAATCATAAATGAGAAATTATCAAACAAAATGTGAACTAATTAAAATGGCGCTGTATCACATACTATCTTCCTGTTTGATAATATTTACGAGTCTCACATTGATTATTTTACAGACAGTATTTTCGTACTACATTCCTGTAGGATCAGATATGGCTTGGCCTTCAGTTCTTATTCCATTTGGTTATATTCCTGCAAGTCTATTATTTCTGACAGCTGGTGCAACTTTAGCTACTGGATTAACAAATTCAGAACTTTGGCAAGCAACCAGTGTTGTATGCTGTATACTTCCATTGATAACCACCATTGCTATAGCGTGCACTACATTACAACAATATATGGATACTTTTCCAAAAAATTCAAGTATTTTGATTATGGGAGTGATTAGTTGTTTGACTTCACTTTTATGTTTTATTCATGCTATTCTAATATGTGTCAGCCAACATTTTTTTCATTTACCATAACCAATTATCAGACAATGAGAATTTCACATATCATTTAATGATTGAGTTTCAAACGTTTTCGTTACCTATGAAATTTTAAAATCAAATTTATGATAGGGTATTAGGTAGAAGTAAGATTTGTTACAGGGACAAAAAATGATAAAGCATCAGTTTTCATAAACAGTAGTTGTACGTAAACATATGCCATTTATGTTGATGGTATCACGAGTTGTATAGAAATTACATGAAGGTTTGTCAACACTACGTTGTATCAGTTTAAATTTCACAAAAATCAAAAATATTCATAACTTCCTAAACGTATATCATTTATAAGTTTCCTTCCAAATGTTCTCAACCATAACGTCATTAAAATAAATGCTTAGCAGTACTGAATCATATATCCTAATGATTATGTTGCATTTTCTCGACAGAAGTTGACACTTACCTGGTATTATATTAATTCTAGAACTTTATTGTATTCTAGGATATGAGGGATTGAAATTCATGAATCTTCATTTTTATTAACAGTTAATTAATTTAAGGATACTTTTTTTAGATATTAAAAATAATACGCAGGATTTCCTGGTTATAGCGTTCGTAATGTATAGCAGTTAACTTTTTAATAAAAGCGTAATCAGTTACTCAGTCAATTAAAACCACAATAGCTATACATGTTTACATTATCAAAGTAATTAAAAGCTATTGAAAAGTATCAATTAATACTCGACGCAAAGATTAGTTGTAAACGTAATGAAAGTTAACTTTTTTACCCAACACTCAACGATAAAAACACATATATTTCTGGTATTAATATTCAAAACAATTCAGATGACCAAGTAGAGATATCTATTTATCGAAAAAACACTGGGTGGGTTTTATTTGAATCTGAATAGTTTCTGTCTAGCAAACTAAAAAAGAGTGGTTAAAACACTATTCTATCGAATATGGAAACTATGTTTTGAGAGAATATTGAATAGGGACTAACTATAGTTCAAAAGTGTTTACGAGATAATGTTTATCTCAGAAATAAGGGAACTTCAGCCGTTTTACTATTTAACTTCAAAGGCGATGAAATAGTTAGGATAATTAATTATAGATTAAGTGCTATATTGAAGAAAGCTTGTCCAGTTGCTAAACTAGTTTCATCACAATAAACGAATTGTTTATTCAGACAAACAACAGTAGGAAATTACCACCTTGTTAGTTTAAACTGTATTTACCAGTCTACATGTTTGTCCCAAAGAACAGAAAGAACGTTCATTTTCTCCTGTCGGAACACAGTCTACAAAAAAGGTCAACATATTTTGTCATGGCCCGTTATCTGCTTCATAGCGGATACTATGTTGATATTTTAAAATCATTCGAGACAATCAGTACTTAAACAACATCGAATTTATCACTTTACCTCAAAGCTCTCGTTATTAAGCTTCGAAACCAAAACTATGCGTACATAAAAATACAGTTGTAAATCCCTTCATATCCTGGTAGTTTTTGTTTCTCAATATTCATTTGTGTAATATCATATTCTTAATAACAAATTCCTTTCTTTCACTTATGGGTCTTTTCTGAGTTGTACTCGTCTTACTCACTAAATCTATCCAATTTACGATCGTTACGTAATTTTTGTACTCTGAAAATGTGTCTCCACGTGTTTTAAAATTTTTCTTGTAGGACTTTCACATTTAACAACATATAAATATTGATTGATTTCTGTCATATTTGTTATTTTCATCCTACCAATCTTTATTAATATGATATGAATTATATACATTGGTTATAAATGATTATTGCTATTGTGTCCAGGTTGTAAGTAGCTAACGATAATCTGTGTAATAAATAAATTTATCTTATTCTACCACACTTGTTGTTCTTGCTTTGGTCATTACTGAATAAATATAAAATCACAAGAAAACTGCCAACTAAGATTCTATTTGTTTTCATGCTTAGTTCATTTATCATTTGTTTATTTGTTAATAGACTTAAGAATGTTTTCGAACAACTGAAAGGCGTGTACTTCTTGTTCAATCAACTAATAGATATGTAGTGGCTTTGCTTCGCTAATCGATCACCTCGATAACCGTTATTATATTAATCTCAACGGTGCTTTAAATCAGAAGGCAATGAGAAGCGGCAACTACAGTTTATTAGGTGATAGTGCAGATCACAAGGGTATAAGCACATCAAACGAATTTGAAGCGGACAGGCGAGCAATTACATAGGCAAGTTTATAATGAAATTGCATAAGGGCGCAGCAATGCGAAGCAAGGCTAATAATAGGATTTGAGTACATACATACATGGAGAAGAGGATGAATCATCGAGTGATATTTAAGCAACCAACATTTTAGCTAGTGTGTCATGTACTCTAGTGAATTGTTACTGTTCCAATGACACTGTCTGTTAAGTAAGTTAATAAAAGGGCTTAAGCAGAATTAACCATGAATGAAATTGGTTGTAGGATAGTTTCTATAGTCAGTTAAAGAACGATTGGGAATCACAACCAAAGTGATCCTACATGTAGTATGCATTGAAAATCACAAAAAAGATTTGTATCGACTTCCTTTCCAACTTTACATCTAATACCGCATATTCACAGTGTTTTCCAGTCTCCTTTGTTCTGTTTATTAAACTTGAGTAGATTAGACGATAGTCATTTTGAGCATTCCATCAGTTGTTCAACCAAAACACCGTTGATTGATGATAACAACCGTTCAAAAAGTATTAGTTTTACCATGTATTCTTTCAGTTAAACATAATTTTTGGAATAATGAAATATTAGTAATATTGAAGAGTTGAAAATTAAATATATGATCTTTTGTAACTTAATATAAGAGAAGAATTCTTATTTCATTTCAGATCTTCTAGACTTGTTTGAAACAGTACATAAATGATATTTTTGTCAATCCATCTATTAGCACTTTTTGAATGACAGTATAAAAATGAAAACATTTTTCACATTCCCATTTCATATTTAAATGATTTCTATACATATATTACGCATATATGGGAAATAGGTAACGTTTAAGGCAAAATAAGTTAAAAGAATGATAATATACCTTCTACTGTCTAAATATATTTGACAATAGTCGATTGTGCAAGGCTAATCTATTGTAAATTTAAGTAAGGATTTAAGATTATCAAAAAGTATCAGTGAACGATATATTTTACATAAAAAAGAGATACCTTTTACAATCTTACTTTATTAACTAGTCATATCTGTACTAATTACAATACTTAATAAGACTAAGAAATGATTTAATGGTTATACGAATATTCACAGATTAAAATCATGAGTCAATTGAAGCTAGACCACCATGGAAAACCTGGAAGCACTGGATAGCCGTTTCGTCCTAGTATGGAACCCCTCGGCAGTGCGCACCCACGATCCCGCCTCGCAAGATTCGAACCTAGTACCTATCGGTCTCGAGAGAGGCGCCTAACAAACTAGATCACTGGGCCGGCATCCAACGGTGTTAACGTCTAACTTCAACCAATCCACGAAGTTGCGCTACCGTATACCATTGTCTTCAGTGAGATGATATCTCACAACAGACATGGTTGAACTCCACTAATAACGACCGTCCAGTGCTTTCAGGTTTTCCATGGTGGTCTAGCTTCAATTGACTCATGATTTCAATCTGTGAAATTTCTAAAATCTCCACAAACCCCTTTTGGTATACGAATATTCGTCAAGATTAGAACGAATAGTTTGACAGAAATTGAGCACCGAGTAAAGAAAAGTCATATGTGAAAATTATATTTGAAATAATCTCAGCGACTGGAATTTAAATAATTCCAAAAACTATATATTTCCTTGATGATTTTAATTATTACGCTGAAGAAGTTCAGACAAGCTAGCTGGACGAAACGTTGGGATTGTTTAAATTTCAATCGTTGAGATTATTTCAAATATAATTTTCACATATAATGATTTAATTGTTAGTTCGAAAGAATGAAATAACAAAAATGACTTTTACTAAGGAAACACACTATAAAAAAAGCTAATTATCCTATATATCAATTTCATCATCAGTTTTCCTTGTCACTTATGAACACATTTCTATTCTGAATAAGGAAAATAACATCATAATAGTTTTAAATGATTGATCGCTTATTTGCCTAATTTTATTCACCTTACCATTCTTTATTTTATAAAAGTGTCGCAGAAGATTGTATGAATTTCCCCCACACACAGTTCAGTAGCTAAATAAGGTAACTGAAATTTTATAGAATCGATAAAATTTCTTTCATATATTTAATTATTTTAATATACATATACAAAAGTCATAAATGAGATTTTAGATTGTTGTTACTGTGCATTGTGGATCAAATGAGAATGTGATGTGTGCTAGTTAGTGTATACATTCGATAGAAGAAAGAAGAAAAAAAATGCAAAATAAACCCATCATACAATAATTTAGTCACTTAATTATTACTGAATAAATCAAGTGCCAAATATTTCTGCCGTCAGTTTAAAAAAAATTGAATCAATAATTAGACTTTTGACTTAAATTTGTGATAATATTTAGTACGACATCTTACGTCACAGTACTTATTGGGGATAACTTAATACATAACAAAATCACTAGAATATCTGTTTTCGTTATAAAACAGAGGTAAATACACTTAACTTTAAACAGGTTACAGGTTCTAACCTAGCTCTCCTTGCTACTGTTTATGTAGTATTTTAGTGACCTGAGATCTGACTCCAGATAAATCTTGTGATTATCGTTATCAATTTATACATATCGTCAATACTCGTATATAATTATCGACTTAACTCGCGTTAGTGAGTAACGGGATTAAATAAGTGAAATACGAGAATGGATTTCTAGTACGTATATTTTATACATTGATCCAGACAGACGATCGGAGAAACGAAGCGAGATGACGCGTAGTGGAGATGGCATGTGCGCCAACTCAAGGTTGATAAGCGAATTAGTGACAGGGTAGAAATGTGGCTTGAGAAGGATGAATAGATTGGTTTGTTCAGAGGCTAAAATAACCTATTTGGGCTTGACA